GATTGAGGCAAGGATGGCAAAGATAGTGAGAATGGTTCATGGCAATGATTGTGAGGATGGCACAGGAACAGGCAGTGTTTCATTTCATTGTACATAGGGTTGCTGTGAGTTGGAACCAGGTAGAGAGCACCTAAGAACAACAATGTCTACCTTAGACATAGGAAAGAATCTTATAAAACATTCTCAGCTATCTTTAATATTTAGTAATTCTAGGATCTTAATTTCTGAACAGTTTTCTCCAAACAACTGACTATGGAAGGAGAAATAAATCATTTTATTGTAGTTAAGGACATTTTAACTTTAACATAATTAGAAAACCTATGATTATCATGATTTCATCAACTTTATTATTTTAGAATAAATTTAAATTAGACTTTTATTTTAATAAGCTTGGCAAAATCTGCAATTTTTTTTTAAATATCTCCCATGAGTCTTCTCCAGTATTAGCCAAAACCAGAATTGTTGGAGACTTCAAGACAGACACACTATGTATGACAGGAGAGACAATTTACATTACACAGTGCTTTGTATAACACAGATATAAGATGAAACTTTGCATAACACAGATATATGATGAAACAGCTGGTGAAACAAAATCATTCCAATTACTGATAAAACAATATTTGTTTGAATGTCAGATACCTCAAATGAATACATATTTAGATTTTAAGATTTTATTTAATTTTTTACAGGACTACATTAACAGATTCCATGTAATATTTTAATACAATGATATCATTACTTGATTCTTTCATATCACAAGTGAATTCTGGTAAAGAGAATAAAATGAAATAAGATAAAATAAAACAATTTTCAAATGTGTTCTATTATTGTTTCATTTTCTTTTTCATCTCTGTATCAATTTTGCCACTGTGTCTAAAATTAAATAACCACTGTTAGACCAAGTACAGTTATGAATGGCTTTGAAAAATATACATGATATAAACTAGGACCTTGCTGAATTTTAGGAAATGTAAGAAATCTAAGACATGGCAGGACAAAACACACAAAATCTCTAAACAGTGAACAAATGGATGCATAGAATAAGTCTCTTACTTGGTAAAGTTTCAATAATGAGTAAAAGATCCATGACAGTCCAGAGGAGGGGAGCTAAAGATAAGTTGTAATGACATAAGAACATGTCAGTACAGATGTGACCATTTCACTTAATCATTAGAGAAGAATAAAACACTGGTAG